TTCAGCTTTTAAAAACTTGTATTCTTTCTATTACTATATTATTATTAGAGTATATTTTTATCTTTGTTTTAGAGAAAACTACTAATAATACTATCTATATTGTATCTAGTTTTGCTTGAGTTGAAGAGAGCTAGTTAGCTATTCTACTATTAAAACTAATACTATTTTTACTACTATTATTACTCACTATAACTCATTCTATACCTATATTTTTTTTTTCTTTGTTTTCTTTATACTCTGTTACTAATAATCTATTTTTATAGATATTTAATTCCTTTTTCTCTTTTAACCTTTCTACAATATCTATTAGTTTGCTTTGTATTTCAATATTACTTATTGCTCTTTAGATTACTGCTTTTTCTAAACTGATAGCTCTTATTTCTACTTCTTTCCTATATTCTTCTTCTTTCTTAAAAAAAATTTTATTAGATTCTATATAGACTAACAGAAATATTTCAATTGATATTATATTTTCTCTGCATAATACTCTTTTTAAAACCTAATACTATTATTATTTTTTTTTTAAACTTAGGTAATCTTGTCTATTACTTTTTAAGGAAAAACTTAATAAGAAGCTACATGATAAATTACTATAAAAAAATTATACTAAATTACTCTTCTAAGTACTGATCTGAACTCACTCAGTTGCCTTTAAGGTACTTAAGTGTGATCTGCTATAGTAACAATTTCTCTCATAAAAAACATTAGACTACATGATAGCCTACTTGCTTCCTAATTCCAAGGAGGCTACTACTAGCCTATATCAAGACTACCTAGTCTTTTCTTAAAAACTTTTCTTACCTATATTCTAGAAAAATAAAGAAAAATATAGTTCTATGAAGGAACAATATAGGGGATAAAAAAAAGAAGAAGGAACAAAAAAGGTGAGAGTGACTAAAAATCTATATAGAAAAAAATAAAAAATAACAGAAATAGATAAAAAAAGTAAAAAAAAAAAGACTATCACAGTTTCAATATATACAGACAAAAAGAAAAAAAAAAATTATAACAAAAAAATACTGCATTAGAATAAAATTTATATAGTACTCTGAATAAATGAAATGTACTATAATAAAAACTAGCAGTATAAAGAAATCTGCTAGAAATATAAAAGACTGAACACCAAAATAAACACTAAGAGATCTATATATATATTTGTTTATATCACTATTTTATTATTATTGATTTGTATAGAGAGCTCATATGATATATTCTCTAATTTAGTAGGTGTATTCCTAGATGTATAAGCTGCATCACTATTTTTTTATAGAAAAAAATACCAAAAGTAAAACAATGAAGAGAAGAACTGTATAATGAAAGTACTAATAGTAAAGATTTATAGGAATATACACCTAATGCTATTATCTTTTACTTTTGTTTTACTATACAACTTACTTTTTCTAATGCTACCTTCTAAAATATATAAAAGTGCTCTGAAAAAGATATTATTATTAAATATGTAAGTAGATTTATAAGTTTTGTCACAGCATAATTATTTCAATTTTTATTAATGCAAATATGGTACAAATTACATCATTTCTTCAAAGTACTCTCTATTAACTTCTATGCAATGTTGAAGCTGGTTATACTAACTATTAAAAGAATTTTCATATTCCTAATTAGTAATCGTATTTAGTATTAAATTTATAGTATGTGCAAAGTTTTTAATTCATTCAAACTACTGACTAGCCAATTCTTTTTTTAGTTTAGAAAACAAAAAAAAGTCATATGGTGCTAAGTCTGACTGTAGGATAGGTGAAGCAGTAAAGTAATATATTTTTGCTTCAAATACTCTTTGACAATAGTTGTAGTATATGAAGAGGCATTGTCGTGATAAAGCATGATATTTATCATAACTTGCCTTTCTTTTTTATTTTTAAAATTTTTAAAAACTTCAGGTAATACATTATTTATATAATATTTTGATGTAACTGTAGAACCTTTTTTTACTACCTTACAGGCTACAGCTCCATCAATAGAAAAAAAATACAAAACATTCATTTTTTTCTATTTTTGGCAGTCTGAACAACTTGCAGCTGATTTTCTCTCTTTTTGACCTATTGTTTATTACTTTCTTTAGACAATACAGTAAAATGATAGATTCAGATTTTATCACTAGTTATTATATTATTAAAGCCTTTTTGTAATTTTTTTAGCAGCTTCTTTGAAACTTTGACCCATTTTTTTTTTGTTCATTAGTAAGAATATGCAGAACCCATTTTGCATACATTTTGAACGTACCTAGTTCCTTAGTAAGTATATTAGTAATTCTAGTTTAGGAGATACTAATGAAATAGGCAAGTTCTCTAGTAGTAGCATAGAGGTCCTCAATTACCAAATTTTTGATCTTGGCAATGTTTTAGAGAGTGGTTGCTTCGCAGAGATGCCCAAGATGTGGTTTGTTTTCAATAGCTTTTTTTCTATTACTAAATACTTTGATCTAGTATTCAATTGTATATTTTAACAGAGCACAGCTTCCTTCAGCAGTACCCAACTCAGTATAGATCTCAAATATTGCTACACTATTCTTCCAGCAAATGTAAGTATAGTAACACTGGTACTGCTAGCTCATTTTCTTGCAGTTGTTTTTAGGAGGCGTTTTTAAAAAAAAAATTCTCACTAACTTTTATATGAAATGCATATCCATTTTTTTATAGGTAGTTTGTGCAACATCAAAGTTGATTATGTAATTTTTTTTTGGCTAAGCCTTGATCAGCATTGAGATATGGCATGTATGATAAAACTTTTGAATCTACTTATGTAAACCTCTTTTTTAGTATTAATAAAGTTGTTTATTAGATCTTTCCAGTTCTAATAGTAATAAAATCATTAAGATTAGATTAATAGTTCTTAAAATATTTATACTTAAATTTTATAATCTTTGATCTACTTTTAAAAAAAAACTACTATTCTAATTTTAATAATTTTACTACTATTAGAACTGGAAAGACCTAAGAAATAACTTTAATTAATATCAAAAAAGAGGTTTACTTAATAATAATATCTTTTCTAGAGTACTTTTATATATTTTGAAGAATGGCATTAGCAAAAATAGAAGGTAAAAATAGCAACACTCTAAATTTATATTAAATTTATTATTAATTATATTTTTTATATATTAAATTTATATTAAATTATATCAAATTTGTATTTTTATATATATTGATTTATATTAAATTTATTATACTTTTTATATATTGAATTTATATTTAATAACTATATTTTATTATGGGAAACTATATTATAAATATAGAATCTAATGTCATTTTGAAAAAGTGCACATTGTCAAAATTATGTTTAGCCAGTTATCTATATGAGCAAACGCATATTAAACTATTTTTTAAAATCAAGAATTATCGAGGCGAATTTTTATGAAATTTTATAATAGGATGTGTTTAACCGAATTTTTTTTTACCACAATTGCATATTTTCGAGTATTACATGGTTTTGAACAATCTCTGCTGATATTCTCTATATACGTATAATTTCCTGATGATATATAATTCTTGGTAGTAAATGATGCCAAGTTTTTACTTTTAGAACATAGTATAATTTAGTAAACTCATTATTTTTTATACTAACTTACAGTATGTATCTACGTACAGTACTCTAAATAGTAAAGATTTTTACAGGATTAGCCTTGATTACAATTTTGTGGTTATTGACTTTAATGTAATTTATATACAAATCGGACAGAGCCGATGACATCTCTTATTAAGAAGTTTACACTATAATTCTATCATTATCTTTATTACATAAAAAATTTACGTAATATAATTTATTGTTGTATTCATTTTTTTTTATAGAGAATCATAGTAATGTTTAAAGTTCTTTTACGTATCCGATATAATTATTCGTTATGTATAAACTGTATATACGTAATAAGCCTACGTATAATGATAATGAACAAGCAAAACAAGCAAATAATCCGAGAATCTCATCCCAAATTAGGCAATAATATTTAATAAATGGCGTACATATTTAAATTATCATGTAATCAAATAATTAATGCTTAAATTCAGTTCAATTCACGTATTCGGACTTCACCATTTTACTTGTTTCACTAAAAGTTTTTCTAAATTTACAGTAACTTGTTTCATTAAGGGTTTTCTAAATTTACAATTAGCAATTATCATATCGATAATTGTGTGTTTTAACATGAGACTAACTTAGAATGGGCCTGTTATTGTGATTTTTTTAATCGAGAGAATCAAAATGATACTCTGCAAGACGAATTAAATGATTTGCTAGATGTAATAAAACACTTGCAGATATTTTACAAAGAGAGTTCAATGTAATAAAAGTAAATGCTAATTGAATTTTCATTTGTCAATATTTTACGTAGTAAGGTTAGAATTAGAATTAGTGTGAAGAGATTAAGAGGCTAATATTAACGAATTAACTTTAAGCAACAATGGGCCAGCTCATATTGTAGTTACTCACAAATATTTATAGAATATTATACATTAGCAAGTTGATAGAATCGTTTGTAATATAATACTTTCTTATGCAAGAATTCAATAATTAAGATAGCATATATTGATATTTTATAAAGTATTTTATTATTTTTATCAGTTATTATTTTTACTTAACACTAAAGGACAAAAATAGCAAGTACGAAAAATTTTAATAAATGTCTATTAAAACTATAAAACTTCAGATATTGAGTACGTAATAAATGTTTTTTGTTTTTTGTTTAAAAGGTAAGGCAATAGAATAAGAGAAACTTAATATATATTTGAATTACTGAAAACTTAGATTACTTAACGATTAAAAGTCTACGAATATTCAAATTATGACGATATTCGAAGAATTAAATCATTTTGATAGCATATCGATATGGATGACGTAATCCTTATGTATAACCACATTTTACAATGATTATATTTTTTTAGAAGTCTTGCATTAGTTTCAACTTGCAAATTCGAATCCTTTTGAGCTGTTCGAGAAAGTAGTAAATTTGATTACTATTTAACAATTATTATATTTAAAATCTGGTTTTAAGGTTTTTGCTCTTCCTCATTATCTTTCGGTACTTCGTTATCACTATTTTTGTTATTGGTTTCTTGTTTGATATCATCAGTATCACGTTTTCCAAACAATCGACATCCCAATTGAGTAGAAAATGTAATTAATTGTTCAATCTCCATCTTTGAAAAATTATCAACATCAGAATTAAAATTTCCAGAGTTTACGGAGGGGTTATTATGATTGTCAAAGTTCATATTTGTAGCTTTAACAGTATTACTAAGATTTTTAACCAAATTTTCAATATTATTAATTTTATTGCTTAAAAAATTAATATATTGATCACTTTGTTCACATCTACGACATATATTTCTAGCATAAGGGTGCGTGGAACGACGAAATATTACGAAATATCTTCTAAATGTATGGAACCTTCGATTAGGATTTCTATTAGCGACAATAGTAGATAAACGCCTAATTTGTTTGATTTTTGCCGCCATTTTGTAATGTTAATATTTTTTTTTTAGTTTCAATGTAAGAACTTTTTCTTAAAAATTCTAGAAAATAAAATTTTGACTCATATTTATTTTTTTTTTTTCATTGAAAATCAAACGTTTAATCTTATCATAGTTTGATTACACGAAGATCTGTCGCTTTTTGCCACAACATTTCATTTAATTAACGGCTAAGTAATTTTATTTTACTAAATTTGGAACATTACTATAGAGTATATGAAATTTTGATATGCATTGTGTGGCTACATATTATATCTGTATATTAACATTTAAAGTAAGTGGCAATAATGCTCTTGTCAGAATATGTACATACATATGCAGATGATTATTATAACTAATTAAAATATAAATTAAGCTGTTACTCGCCACAGCCAGTAAGTATTACGTATCATTTTAATATATTAGCCTGAAGTAAAATGATACCATATTCTATATAACCATATTATTTAATTTTTTTGGACTGATATTAATTTGCCCCAACGATTATACGAATTAAATAAGTGACTTTTTTTAGTATAGTAATTAATTGTAATTAATTAACAACATAAGCCACGAATTTCGGCCTTTTGTTTAATTTAACCAATAATAAAATCTCCTTATGCGTACATCACAACTGGGTTGCTTCTTTGTATGTATAATCACTTTTTAAGTCTATAGTCATACAAATAATCATTTTATAGCATTTCTTTATTATACGTTGTATCGGTATGTAATTGCATAAACGAATAATACGAAATTTCTATTACTATAGTTTACGTAAGCATTCCGCAAGAATTTGATGGACGAAATGCATTCTATGAAAATTAATTTCTTGTAAAATTTCGTTTCAAACAATGTATTTCCTTTTTCTTATTTAATGCATAATGATATATTCCTTATAAAAAATAAACTTCTCTTCAAACATTAATCGGGTTAGTGTTAATAGGAGAAATGCGCATGATACATAGAATATTTTTATAATATATTTTATTATGTATGAGTTAAAAGAATAAACTCTTAAGAAATAAACGGTTAATATTATAAAAGCAGCAAATTATGTGATATCACAACACTATGTATTAATTTTTTAGAAAATTTGCTGCGTTTTTTAAAATTTGACCTACTCTAATTGTTTATCGTTATTATACGTAGTTAGCTGTGCATTTTCCTATTACCTTATTTAGAGGTCTTTGTAGTATTTTATATTCATCACGTGGTTTTTAATTTACAAATTGTACGTACGTAATCAGTATCTCCTTATTTAGTAATTTATATCGACAACCGAAGTTCGGTATAACAATGCGTATGAGTATAGTGTTTTTAAGCCACATGTTTCATGTTGAGCCAGCTAAAATATTCGGCTAAGCGGCTGGCTAACAGTTTACATTAGGAATCTTTGGAATTTTCCAAAAAATTATCTCGCGTTTTACATTTAATTTACTCTTTAGGATTTATCGTATTCAAAATAATGACTTTGAATAATGTTATCTTTAGCTAGTTTTCTAAGCCAGCTTAAAACACTATAACGTATGAATATGACGCGTAGGGGCGCAATGCATAAATCACTACGTAATGAAACTAGGCCGATAGATTAAAGATTAATAAAGTTATGCTCAATATATCTCCGACTATGGTTACATCTCTCTCAAACGCTATTGCAGTATTTTAGAAAAACTACCCGAATTTCATCTCCGCTATCGTATCTCGTTTCCCTGATGCTCCGTTGATAGTAAATCTTACAAGTTATATACAATATTTGATAAATTATAGTTATTGTGTGTAACTCGGTTATTCACAGTCTGATGTAATAAACTTACTCTTCTTTAATAAACTTTTCTTTTATTAAATTGATCAGTTAGCCAAGATAATATAAAGAATTTTAGCCCAATAAAAAGTATCCCAGTCCAGCCAAGACAATTATAAAGAATTTTTAGCCTCAAAAAAAAAGTACTCCGGCCCAGCAAAGATTATTACAAAAGCAAAAAAATTAGCCAACAAAAAGTTTCCAAATTCAGCCAAGATAATAATAATAAAAAATTAGCTCAAAAAGTATCCTGGTCAAGCCATTAAACAAGACAATTTTATAAAAACAAAATTATCCCAAGAAAACGTATCCCGACTAACCAAGACTATTATAAAAAAACGATATATATACGAAAAAAGTATCCCGTATAAAAATTTGTGAACTATCTAGTCTATACGATTATCATGTGATTATCATATGAAAATAAGCTTGTAAAATTTGCACGGGTGCAACACTGATATGTTTAGAGTTGCAAATTATTTTAAAAAAATAAATTTTTTTATAACTTATGTAATAAAAAAAAACTCTACGTATTGCCAACACTGATATAAAATATATAAAAACAATTTGCACTTACAAATCCGTTTAAGGAATATAGCATTATATTATTAAACCTATTTGAAAAAAAATAACTAGACTTTGCAAATAATACTAAAAATTTACTATTATTTAGCAAAAGAAACAACTAACTTGCCAATTTGTTCTCGCCTTTCCATTTTAATAAATTGATCCATAATTTGGTCGAATGGTACAACAGAATCAATTGAAGGAACAATTTTATGATCAATGATAAAATTAATCATAGATTTAAAATCAGTAAAGTTGCAAAGGTCTGAACCCATAATACTAAGACACTTCACATAAATTGTGCTCCAGTTTTTTAATATTTCATTTGAGGGTGGTCCAAGTGTCTGTAAATGGAAAGTATGGGTTAATCATATATAAAATATATTATCGTTATAAGTCTTGAATTAATAATATATTTACCTGGCCAAAAAAAACATATCGACCTGAGCGCTTTAGTATATCCAGATAAGTAGGGACAAATTTACCGCCAGATGAATCAACAATTAGATCAAAAAATCCACCTTTCTCCTTTGGTACGATTTGTTTCAGCTTATCGGACCAATTTTCTTCTGTATAAAGTACACCTTTAACATTAAATTTGTCTTCTATAAAGTTTTGTTTATACTTTTGACCAGTCGTGAAAAATACGTTGGCACCAAACGCCTTGGCAAATTGGATCAGGAATAGTCCACAACCTCCGCCACTTCCTGTGATTAGGACAGTTTCACCAGCTCTAAGCCCACCTCGAACGATGAGTGCTTGATATGATGTCTTTATAAAATATTAAATTGAATAAAAAAAAAAAAAAAGCAAAATTAAAATTTTTATTAGATTTTATGTCTGAAATTATTATTATGTATTTCTTACCGATCCAGCAACTGGTATAGCGGCAGCTTGTTCAGGTGTCAAATGATAAGGTTTCGCTATAAGGTTTTCAGCTGGAACAATAATTTTTTCGCAAAAAGTTCCATCATTTGGGCCACCCAAGATATCCCCAAACCCCAAAAGTGGATAAATAATGACTTGTTTCCCAACAAGATAATCATATTTTTTGTCTTTCACTTCTTCAACTATACCGCAGGCTATAAATAAAATAAAATAAAAAGGGAAAGATAAAGTATATTAAAAAATATTAGCAAAGATTTTTACTCACCGTCACTACCCATAATGTAATTATCTCCTAAATTATAGAAACCACGTCGGATCCATTCATCTAATTGATAGAGCTATTATAAGTAATTACTGTATTGGTAATTTAGTAAATAAAGTAATTACCACGATGGTTCAACGAGGCAGCCAAAATTTTTACACATGCATATCCATCAGGAACTTCTTTCTCAAACCTTTCTTCAAAAATAACTTTAGGACCTTCATGAAATTGATGAAAAACGAACGCTTTCATAACTTTTATTAACGAAATATTTTTATTCAATATATGGTCTAGAAAAAAATAAAAAATAGGTAAAAAATTATCAACTAAAAATCTGATTTAAAACCAATTTATCTTTTCAATTTGTTGATATTAAAATTTTTTAACTTTCCCTAAAGGCTTTAATCATGCTTTTTGAGAGTATATCATTGTTTACTATTCTATCGACTTCTCTAACTTTAAATATGTGAAATCTAAGTTCCTGGCCATTTGTTATTCCAAGTGTATTGTCATTAGGGTTGTCAAATTACCGTAATTTTACGTAATTTTATGTAATTTTGCGTAAGTTTTCGATAAGCTAATTTTCATGTAATTTGTAATTTTGAAATTATGTAATTTCTTAACATAATTTCGGTCGCTGCGCTGCATTCAGTATTCTATGAGACGATTTTTATGTCATAAAATTAAAAATCGCACGTATTAAATATCACATAGATTGTAAATAGTATTCTAAAAATATTTGTTACGCCATATAAGCTATGATATGTAATAATCGCTCGTTCAATTCATTAAAAGTCATTTATAAATAAGCGTGCAATACATCGTTTTATAATAAATTAATAATGGTTCAAAATAAAAAAAATTGAAATGTGGGACTAATATGTTAAGCGAATTGATAAAAAAGGAAAAGAACGTTACTAGTGTAAAGCATGTTATAAAGAATGAGCAAAAAATATAACTCGATTGCAAGAACATTTAAAGTCTGTGTTTTAAGAAATGAATTATCTGAATCATATGAATCACCTGGTACTAATAAAAAAGCGAAAACAACTAGTTTTGGATAACTTGGTTCAACCAGATCGAACTGAATTGTAATTATTACTTGCTTATGTTTTTTTATATTTGGAATTTCATTCAATATAATTGAAAATAAAGATTTTCATATTTTTCTTAAAAAGGTTTATCTTTTTTTTTAAGGTTCTACGTACGTATCATGCAATACTCTTTCCAGTTCGCTTCTTAATAAGGAATATACTGATCTACAAGTAGTTATTCAAAATATTCTTGATGAATTATCATATTATTACTTAATAATATTAGTCAAATATTAATATTTAACTATATGATTATTATACTTTTTCTATTTTTTACACATCAGTTCATACTAATAAAGAATATTATATAGTTAAAAATATTATTAAAGAAATTAAAGATGTAATAGAAGAAATTGAAATCAATAAATTTGTTAGTATTATTACAGACAATATTAACAATATGAAAGTTATATAGAATATTTTAAAAGTCAAATATTCTAATAAAAGTTTTTTTTTTTAATGCTGAGTATACAAAATTAATTTTTGAGTTAGAAAAAATATTCTTAAAAATAAATAGATTGCACAAATTTTAAAAAAATAAAAATTTAATATTATTTTTTTATAATTATTTAATTTTATTAGTTATTTTTTATTATTGCTAAAAGAAATATATAATCTTGAAATTATATTTATTCTAACTATTAATACAAGATAAATATTATTTTTTGAATATCTTAATCATATTTTATAAGTTTAGTTTGCAATATATATTATATTTACTGAGTATAATATTAGAATAAATAATAATATTAAAACAATAATTTTGAATTATAATCATAACTCTTTTTAATGATTACTCATACTAAAATTTTCTAACTTATTTTTTTAAAAAATATATAATAAACTTTGTAAAAACATGAGAGTGACAAAGCAGAAAGGCATAAGTTAGCACCTGTTATTTAGAGATAGTTCTCATATGCTATCTGCTAACAGGTTTAGAGTTTATCACTTACTGTAATATCAAAGTGGTACTTGTTATTTAGAAATAGTTCTCATACACTACTTGCTAACAAGCTCAAAGTTTATCACTTACCTACTAAGGATAAGTACTAGTTATACTTTAGGTGAATACAAGTAGATAGTAGATTTTGAAGATATATATTCTCTTTAAAAATTTTGGCACTTTTATTGTTCTTCTCTTGTTCTTTGAATTTCTTATTATCAAAAATTAAAAATTTGAATGATTTGGTGAACTTCTAACAAAGGATCTGCAAGTTCATATTACTTTCTAATTTGACAAGTCATCTGTTAATATGCAACTTAGACAAGACAATAAATACATATATTACTATTATGTAGATGATCCAATTAGGATTTAACTTCTGAATGAGTCTAATATTAGAGATATGCATTTTTGTTAGGTACCCTTATGTCCTGCAAATTCAGACCTAGGAATCAACATCTGGAGCAAAAAGAGTTATACTAATTCCCTTCTTGTGATTAGTCAATTATAAAATTAAAACTCTTTGCAAACAAAATTTTGCTATCTGTGTATCTTTAAAAATATTTAAATATAACAAGATAGTAATACTGTATGCAATAATCTACTATTAAAGTTTCTAAACAGTATAATATATTAAATTATAATAAACACAAGTATTAATCGACTTATAATTAACTTTAAATATATTACAGAAGATTTATTTATTAATTTCTTTAAACAATAAGTTTTAACATACCACACTGATTGAAAAACCTGGGATTTAAAACAAAATATCTAACCAAAAACCTTTATAAAATACATAGATATATTTTATATCATGAACTAGAAAAATTTCAAATTCATATATATTCTAAAACTTTAAAAAGAGCTGCTTACAATTAATAGAACTCCTATAGCTTTTACTCAAGTATTTTAACTAGAGACATATAAAAAAGATCAAATCAATATGATACAATAGTTTAATATAAAACTTAAATCTCATAGTTTAGTATTCAATCATACTTTAATCATTTGTCCTTTTAAAAGTAAAAAAATTTAAAACTAGATATATAAAAAACTTATTGAATCTTTAACATAAAAGTAAACAGTATCGTTTATAAATCTTTTGACCTTGTACTATTCTATTCTGTTTTTGAGTATTCTATCTTGTTCTATTAATTCTCAACTTTGACCTAATTTTAGTATCTCGTATATAATACTAAACTACAATAAAACTCTCTCTAAATGCATACTTAAATTTGGATCTAAATATACATATAACTTTCATAAATGTACTTTTACTTGTAGTTTACTAAGTAACACTATTAAAATTTAGTTTCAAGAATGTGCACTTATAGAGGTTTTACTATAGCATATAATTCTGTAATTTCACTAATTAAAAAAGTTAATACTTATAGTCAGCATGAAAAATAAAAAACCATAAAATAAATTTAAAAAAGAAAAATATACTTATGTCATGCCTGAAGTTAATATTTGCCTAAAGTTGTAACTTACCTAAAAAAATTATATCTGCTTAGAATTACTAGTTAATGTATGCAAGATGATTCAATTCAGAAGCTAATTTCAGTAAAAGCAACTTTAGACAGATGTCAATTTAAAACATGATAAATTTGGTTCTTGTCATTGTTATTGTAATCTAGAAATCGCAGTATATATAATCTTGCTTCTGTGTTCTAATGCTATTTGTTCAGACTAGTCAAATAAGTAAACTAATGAAATTCATAGTTGAGTCTAAGTTACAGATATGAAGAAATATAATAATACTAAAAAAAGATAAGACTGTACCAGAGGCTATGTAAAGAGTATAAAAATTTAAAATAAAACTAGTAATCTTCGAATTCATATAGCAAAAAAAAGAAGTTAAAAAAAGAATCATCAAAATGAGTAAAATTAAACAAAAAAAAAAAAGAATAAAAATTTCCCATTCTAAAGCCCAAGTCTACTATTACAATGAGATTTCATAATTCTTTCTTGATTTCAAAAGGATAAATTAAATAAAATAAAAAATTTTATGAATATTATAAAAAAGGTATGCTAATAAAAAATATCTCAAATTTGAGTATTAATAGTTTGAAGTTTCATTTGCTTACCTTAAATCATCTAAAATTTATTAATTGTTTCTAATCAGTTTGTTAAATTCTATAAAAATCATACACCTTATATAAAGTTTATCTTTTTGCTTTGAATTTTGTTAATATTTCAAAGTATATTCAAATCAAAAAAAAAAAAAAAAAAAAAAAAAAACAAATTACAACAAAAATAAAAGACAATATCGACCTACAAATAGTAAAAAATAATTCTGATCTTGTTATGATGAATAACAGTAACAACTCAGTTTTAGAAACTTTGCAACAAGAAGTAATCAAAGCTGAACCTAATGATAATAATATTTTTTTTTTTTTTTTTTTTTTTATTTGTACAACATGGCATCGGCCGAAGTTTTTTTTAGCATTGGGAGTGTGGAAATGTTTTACATTTTGTGT